ATGTGACTCACTTCAAACATCACCTACATTTCTACATCTCCGGCCTTCCTTTACTCTCTCTGTCTCTGTTTACACAGAGAAGACAGCAGCTGAGCCTCAATGCAGGTAGGTTTATGCAAATCATGACCTACTGAAATAGGAGAGACAAATTAAAATTGAGGAAGAAGCTGATGAAGTAACACTTGCTTGTGGTCAATTTTTTTTGGAGAGATAAAATACATGCTGTGATAAATATCAATTGGAATCAACTGGTTGGATAAATGATGATGAAAGCTACATTTGTACTGCCAGAACTCACAGAAATGTCATATTTGTGCCCATAAAGAAGTTGTGATTACATGACCATTATAATACAGACAAGATCTTTTCTTTGTTTCAGTGTTCAGGCTGCATAGCTTTTGCTGGTGCTTGTAACTGTGAACAAAATGAAACAAGTCTGTTTATTACCTTTAACTCTGCTGAAAGTAAACATTAATTTGAAACTTGCTGTGATCTTTCCTAAGTTTTCTGTGCTTTTGATGGGATCCTCGCTATGAGGTCCATTAGGTTATTCAAGATGCAGATAAGAGACAGCAGTGGTGATATGTGCTATGCGCTGTGTCTATAGCCCATCTATAGCTGTATCTAACCCCATACCAGACCTGTGATAAATACTACAAATCCCAGAATGCCAGAGGGTGGCATCATGAGTAGAAGCCTCCCCTGCTGACACAGACTAAAAATAAGGTTGGGAAATGAAATTTAAATGACTATCAAATCAAATCCAAAAAGCCTTGAACTACTTCTTCCACACGGAAAGTCAAATTCTCCCATATGCACAATTAGCTTTCTTCCCCAAAATTGCTTTCGTTTGGTTTATTCTGCTCCCTCCGGACACCGGCAGTTCGGATAAGACAGAGCTGAGAAACAGCTGACACCAAATCAACACCCGCTCGCAGCAATTAAATCCTTTCTTCAGGGCATTTACACATCAATCTTTCACTCTAGGGGAGGTTGTGAGTGCATATTGGAGCCAGACAAAAAAAAAAACTATTACAATTATTTTATTAGTTAGCTAATATTACATGAGCTTACATCCAGTGATGCAACTGGACAGTTGTGTTTTTAATTCACATTATTTAAAAAAAATATGAATTAATTGGCGTTTTGTGGAAACTGCATGCAGACCAGGGATAACCCCAACCTGCCAATTACCTAAGCAGGCTCTGTGTTTCATCCAAAGAAGATGAAAAACGCTGCGCGGGGCCCTTATCGGACGCAACAGAGCAAATTAAAATTTCACTCTAGTGTTGCTAATCAGCATCGCGCTGGCTGGCCAAGACAGAGATGTAAACAAAACAACATAAGCAACTGATGGAGTGGGGAGGGAGAGAGAGAGAGACACTGTGAGAGGGGAGGGGTTGAGGTTGGACTGCTTAGTGCTGACGAAGGGGCTTTAGCCTTCTCCTGCCTGTACACACACACAGACACACAGACAGAGAGAAGAGACACACACTCAAGGACACACACGCAAACAGAAAATCTAAACACACACCCCAGAATAAAAAGAAGCACCCAAATACACACACACACACACACACACCTGCATGCCCATTTCCTGACCAGACCCCATGGGCTGTCCGTCCGATGCAGAACATGTACCATAAATTAAATTCCAGCAGCCACAGTCAGGCCCATCACTATGCACAAGGCTCCCTGAGATAGCCGCATAATACAATGTGACATTGATGCATTGCTCCTATTATAAAGTCTTTGTTCGTATCACACTAATAATTCATAAGAGAGAAATGTAAACAGTATGCACTGGGGAGCACTGCGAGCAGGAATCATTTCAAGGTAAGCACATTACCAAGGATGGGACTGGGTCTGGTCTTTGATATTTAGAACTACTGCTTTGATTTCAATTCTAAAAAAAACAGAGGCAAAACACTGAGCATAATAGTGATAAATTCGTGGAAACTGTAAATATCCTTTCGTTTTTGTTTTATTAGGTCAGATTTTAAATGAGGTGCTGCTGTAATTATCGAAACAACAACGCTATTTTCAACTTGCTAGGCTCTCATTATTATCTACTAATTACTTTTATTGTTCTCTGTGTGTGTTGTGTGTGTTCTGATTAGTGGATAACAGACAGATCCTTGTTACACATATAAATTGAGACAGAAACTGCTGTTTCAGTTCTGAGGTAAACCTAAATAAGTCATTAGGATTAGCGCATCTGCTGTAGGTACACACGGCACATGAGCAAGGAAAGACACGCACTGAGCAGAAACGGCCTGGATTTCAAGCAGCTGACGTGCAGACAAACATGCAGACACACATTCAGGAGGAAAGCTGAACACTGAATATTGTTCTGTTTTTCCTCAATCAAATAGGCCACAATAATTTGAAAAACTAGGACGATGTCATTGTGATGAGAGAGCAGGTTCAAAACACACACCTCTAAATAATACGCATCTCTGCACAACACTGGGGCTGTGTCTTTATTTTGGTGAGTGGCCAGAGTGTGTGTGTGTGTGTATGTGTGTGTGTGTGTGGGGGGGGGTGTAAATGAGGTGCACTCGTTTCGCTCACAGCTTGCTCCTGAAGAGAGGCAGCGTGGAGGGAAATTGAATTTGAAAGAGGGGAAACTGTGCCAACAGGTGACAGAGGCGTGCTCCGACCAAACGCACTCTGAAGTGAAGCGCAGTCATATCACGGGGCCAATTTGGAGGCAGTATTATGCACTACACCGCTCGCCTTTCTCACACAGCCTGTCAGCGCACAGGAGAGCAGTGCTGCTGCTCCAAATATGAATTAAACATAGGGCTTTTGTAGCGTGAATATACTGCTGCTGAAATGTTGATAGAGTCAAGAAAAAACACAGTAGCGCATGCACTTACTCCGAAAGTGTAAAACTGGGGGGGTGGGAGGGGGTAACACATTTGCAGTTTAATGTTTAATGTTGTTTAGGAGGCTGGCGTGTTGGAATTTAAAAACTTAGTTTGAATAATATAAAATATGGCTCAAATGACTGCATGCTGTGACTGATATGCTATCTGACTTTCATGTCTTTGATATATATTCTTAATATCCACTCCTTAATCAGTAACAATCACTGTAGTAAAGACTGAGATTACTGTAGTTTCTAGTGACCATCTTATCAGTGCATAATTTGAAACAATCAATACCACAGCAAACCCTCCCACGCTAAAACATTCACTTAATTTCCCCAGCATCCAATGCAAATTGCCTTTGATTGAAACAATGTAGGCTAATGAACTGCTTTTGTTTTGTGAGAGGCAGACAGTATAAGCTATGCTCAACCACCTTGCCCTCCAGTTGTCCAGATGTGCCATCCAGCAGTGCAAATAATTTACCGCATCAGAATAATGGCTCTTCCGGAGGGAAAGACTGTGTTGTTTTGGGGCAGAGTTCTGAACTGGAAGCTACTTCATCCCCTGGCTGTTAAGGCTGCACCCTGTTGACGCATCAGTATTTCAGCACAGGGTCAGGGATCCTTGAGTGCAGTCCCCCAATAACATAAGTGGGGAATACTTGAACAATTAGTAAGACTTTCTTCCCTTCCTCAACTATTGCTACTGAAGTAGCCCTCGAGCAAGGCATTAAACCCTGCAGCTGCAGCAGTGGCCAACACTAGTCTGCTTGCCTGGGGTTGTAAGACTGTTACACACACACAAAAAAAGAGTTTTATCCTTATATTTCAAAATGGTAATCTACAAACAGTTTTATAATGCATTTACATAACAGGTATAAGATAAATGTGTGGGGCAATTTCTCCTGAATTATGTGGAAAATTATACATTTATATCAAACAGAACAAACAAAACTGGACAATCCTCAACATATAATAGGATTATAGCTCACTGTACTTTCTTTTAGTCATTTTGGGCTGACATTGCAGCATTTTTGTATGTCTGTTCAGTGTGGAAAAATTATGTGAATATTTATCGGGAGCAGCCTAAACCTTCATAAAACTTCAATTATCTTGTTGGACGGCCTCCAAGTCTGGAGTATTCCCATAAGACGTAAATGCAGCATCACTACAGCGCCATGGCGAAGGAAGCCTGCAAGAATCCTTTTTTTTTTTTTTCTTTTTTTGAGCGCAGTCTGCCCAGCGGGGCCACAGGGAGCCAATCAGATGGCAGACTGGGTGTCAACTGTGAGCCGGGAGTACGGAGAGCTTTCAGCCAGTTTTCCTCCACAATTCAAATTCTGAAAAGATCTGCATGGGAATAAAATGAGGCGCACAGACGCGCTCCGGCTCGACAGGGAGGGCACGGACAGGGACAGGTGGTTCATTGCTCGGCCGCGATGTCTGTTTGATGTTTCAAATAGTTAAACACTAAGAGGTGATAACTATTACAGAACGTCAGCGTTTATAATGATCATATAATTTCCTATAGGAATATTTTACTTTGTTCCACCAGCGCCTCGAACACAACATGTCCTCTAAACAGGGCGTTTCGCAACGTGTCTGACACCACGTCTGCAGAGAGGTGCATCTGCCCAGCATTAATGCTGCTTTTTAATCTAAAAATGACATAATACGGACAGTGCGCAACTGGAACATGGAACTATTGAAATATGAGGACAGAAACACAGCCTCCGGTTTACCCTATTAGGCTAATTAATGTGTATGATCATTAAAATAGCCTAATAAACGAAGCAGATTTTTCAAAATAAATGTGGGGTTTCTTCCCTTTTCTGTCATGTCAAAGCTCAGGCAAGTCTAATATCTAACACGTTAACACAAGTCCGAATGATGCACATGTAATGGCCTTTATTTTGCAGAAAATCTGCCTAATAAAAATATTAACCCATGTAACTTTAGCTTACAAACATTCTCGTCCACACATAATGGTCCTTGTCGCACAGTAGGCTATTTGGGGTCAACATACACACACACACACACACAGCCCTCCACCACCAATTATGAGTGACACACCGGCGTTCAGATGCACAGTGGAGTGACTGGCTGAGAAGTTTCCAAAACTTACCTGCGTCCTGCCGAGGCCTTGCCCTCCGTTGCCTGGACTCAGTGAATGAGGGTGGTTTCTCTGCTGCCCTCCCCAGCCGTGGGCAGAGGTGGCTCCATACTGGGGCCCCACGTCCTTCCCTAGGCCCATGCCGGCTTGCTGCTGCGCTGTGGGGCCGCTGTAGTCTTGATATGCACCGCCATAACCCCGCATCATGGGGCTGGGGGATGTCAGCAGTTGGTTGAGGGTCGGGGTGGCTCCTGAGGGATGCTGCTGTTGAGTTTGTCCTGGGAACCTCTGAAAGCCACCTGAAGCAGCTCCCAGGGGAGACTTGCTGTGGCTTGCTGAGGAGTTGCTGCCCATCATCATGTTCCCAGATTGCCGGCAACCAGAGGGCCCCATCATTCCGTAGGCCCCGCCGCTGTATCCCGCCCGGTACGCCGGGTACTGATTGTACTGGCTGTTGTGGTACCCTGCTTCGTGGGAGTTCTCAATGCTGTTATGTGCCGAGGAATGCGTTATCCCCATCCCGGTGCTTTGTTGCTGCTGTCCGCCATGTTGCTCATAACAGGGCCTTGGAGTGTAATAGTTGTTATTAAACTCAGAGTTGTTACCAGTTGGCCCCAAGTTAGAGTGTTCATACCTGGTACCCATCATCCTCTCCGCGGGTTTACAGGTGAGGTCCCCATCACCTTTTCCTGGCATGTGCTGCTGCTGTGGCTCCCCCTGGCCCCCCAACAGGTTCTCTTTGCCCCCGTGGTGTTGGTGATCCATACCTCTGTCCCCACGGGGTCCCTGGCCGTTGTTGTTACTTTGGATCTGTCGCTGCTGATGTGGCGTAAATTGGCCGAATTGCGGCGGCGGCTGCTGCTGCTGCGGCTGAGGCTGAGGGGGATCTCCGCTCCCCACACATTTCAGCTTGTGGTTCGCGATCAAACCCGTTTCCATCGAGGAAGTGGTTGAATTAGTCGAGGCCGGGGCGGACGTGAGGTTATTCCCATCCTTGTCGGGGCCGTCCGGAGCGTTGTGAGTCGTGGAAGTTGAATGAACCATGTTGAGCTCGTTTCGGCGGTGATGGTCTACATTATTCAGAGTCCCATCTCCGGCACCCAGCATCGGTCCAGTCCGCTGTATGGTCCCTCCTCCTCCTCCTCCTCCTCCGGATTTCCCCGAAATGAGCTCCGGACCCAGACCACTGGATAATTTCTTATTTTTGCTATTAGTTCTGGTCGGAGCCGATGCAACTTGCGCAGCCATGGTCACTCCAACATCTCAGCGCGCAGTGACAGCAAGCCCCGACCAGCCTTGCGCACAGAAAATAATACAAGAGAGGAAGAAGAAGCTGGGAGCTGAAAAATATATTCAGTGGAAAAGCAAGCTATGTTCTAGCGCTGGTGTTGCTGTGTTGGTGGTGAAACGGTGCGTCAGTGAGGCTTCATGTTGAAAGTTTCTCTGCCAGGTTAAAACGAAACTTTTTTTTCTTCCCCCCTCCGCCTCTCCTCCATCCCGGTTCTCGATAATATGTAGCAGCGTCTCCCGGAGCCCTTGTGGCCCAGCATGGCATGAGAGAGAGCGGGCTCTACCAGCTTATCCACCTCCAGGGCTCCGGCGCGCCTCACATGGAAAATCCGGACTGGAGTAGCAAGCCATTACGCACGCTGCATATGGATGATTCTGTGTTTTACGATGCTTTGCAGGCTGATTTTACAATTTAAAAAACGATACACTGATATGGCAGTATTTTGATATGACATACATATCCTTATTGTCGTTATAATATCAAGATTTCTTTTAATAACTGCACCTCAGACCGTCAAGGGATCACCCCCTCCGTTGAGTTTAAAGTGCGTATTATTGTCAAACAAACAACAGCCGTGACAGATCGGGCATTTCCAAATTATGCACGGACACTGCTCCTCCACTCCGCGCGGATCCTTCAAATAAACACACTAGCAGATGTTAAGTTTACCCGAGCGAGTTTCGACGCAATTATCCAGATCTGATTTTCCTTCCTCCCACCCTCTCTGTCCCTCGGCTCAAGCCAGTTCTCTGCAGCTCTGACAGGAGTCGGACACGAAACCACAAGCTGTGCGCAATAATGTTGCCATCGGAATAAGAATGTAATCACACTTTATAGCAGCTATAATGTAGTAATATCTGTACCACAGGGTTCATCCCCTACAAGGCCCAATCAATTCTTTCACCCTGAACTGAAATTATTATCCCCTTTAACAAAGAACCATATACTGTACTAATAGGGAAATATCACAAACTATAAACTATATAATATTCTACAGAGTTATTCGTTGTGAAAACAGATATACATTGCCTTTCAGCACGATTAGGTAACAGGTATAAACTCACTTTAAGTCTCCATAGGAATGTAATATGAATAGTATGAATATTAAACCCATTCTTCATTAGGGTCTTATTTGAATAAAAGGCCACATTCTTTAATTTCCTTGTCAGTAATGATAATGAAATAAAAAAAAGAGGGGGGGGGGGGCAGTTCCATGCTGCAGTGTAGGACCACACAAAACCAAAGTCTACAAGATATGCTATCCCATCAGTGGTATTCAAATATTCAAACATGAATGTAAAATAGTGCTTAGTAAAGAAGCTGGGGTGTCTGTTGGGACTTGAATGAGCAGAGGGCCCGCTTTGATGAGATCAGATGCATTTGATCAACAGAGGGAGCTGCTGGATGAAAGTGGGGTGGAGGGGAGGGAATGGTGGTGGTGGTGGTGGGGGTGAAAGATTTGGGGATGAGAGTTGTGCTGAGAATGGCCATGATAATGATGATGGCTGGTGGTGGTGGGAATAAATGTGATGATGCTGATGATGATGATTATCACAACGAAGGTGCCAGTGGTGGAGGTAATGATGACTAAAATAATGAACACTGTATGGGTAATGATCCTATTTTTTCGACACCTAATTGTTGCTTTAGGTCACATATTTGTGAAACAAGGAGGCACAATTCACTCTGCCTTTTACTCTGTGCATAGTGTAAGACAATTCACCATGAAGCCATGTCAGTGACAATGGGAAGACCCCTGCTGGAGATACAGTGTTAGTACAAGTAAGAGTTTTTTTTTTTTTTAAAGTATAAAAATACAAAAAGGACACCTTGTGTTTGAGAGGGAAAAAACTGAGTGAGAGGGTAGGACTACCTTATGCCAAAATATGTATAAATTGTGCACTTTGTGAAACTACTTGTGTAACATGCAAAAGAAAATCACACATTCATATTATCACATGACAACAAAAGGCTTAATCCCACTTTTCCAAATGAAAGCTCGCTCATTGGAGACAAATAAAAGCGAGTGACATCCCTAGAAACCTTTCCCAGCCGTTTGCCTTTATGAGCCCATATGGCAGAGAATAAAAGCTATAATGTTGTTACGGTCCAACTACAAAGTCTCCATGGTGTTCACCATTCAGTGTACTCGGGCCCAGCCTATAGCAGCAACAGGACCAGATGGCTATTTATCTACAGGACACCCTGAGAAGACATCACATTTACATCCTCTGTGTATATGAGTGTGAAAGAGCAGAAAATGTGTAGGTGACAGAAAGTGCCTGCTGTTGGTGTGTATGACAAAACTACAACTCCTTAAATGATGAAGCATTCATTTCTGGTTATATGCACCTTTTCTGATTAGAAGAAGCCTCATCCGCACCCATCCTGCTCTCTGTACTTTTGTGCACATGACGATTCTGGCTCCCATCAGTGTCCCAGATCAAAGCCTCAGCTCTGATCTCATCTAGAGCAACACTAAGGCTGACAGTGAGGGGACCTGGAGCATTAGCATATTCTATGATGGCGCCCAGCTTTTCAAGCCGTTGCCTCGGCTGCAGCTCTGGGTGTGTGCACTGTGGCTTTGCAACTCTAATTTCTCTCTCTCGCTCATTAAAAAAAGCCCACTGTTCTCCTATTAATTCGCAGACACACTGATCTGTTTGAATGGCGAGGATGGGTGTGTGCGGGAGGAGGGAGGTGGAGGAGGGCAATGGCTCAGCGCATTTGCATTTATGTTTAATTTATAACCTTCAGGGGCCCCCTGATGCAGCAAGATTGAAACAATAACTCCAGACAAACACGGGGAAGAGAGGAGGAGGAGCTGGAGGAGGGTGGATGGAATTAAAAATATACAGATCTGGGATGGTATGTGCTTTGCATATGTGCGCGGCTGTGTGTGTGCGCGTTGGTAAGGATGCTGTTACTGCATGTGCATCCATGTGCATGCATTTTTGTGAGTATTTATTCGTGCATCTGCATCAAGGTGTATCTGAAACTCTCTCTCTTGCTCACACACATACATTGACAGAGGTCTCCAATCCGCGGGGGGATAACATGCCACGGTGAGTGTCTGTCAGAAGGAGAGCTGGAGTCTGTTCCGGGGGAGTCTGCAGGGATCTCCCCCTAGCAGCACAGCACAGCAGACAGCAGCAGCAGCAGCAGCAGCAGCAGCACAAGCCTGGCCAAGCACAGAAAGTGGGTCAGCCCAAAACACACACAAACACACACATGCACACGCAGATACACACACAGCTCAGACGGATGCAGCCCCAGTGTCACACTGTGGGTGTGTTTGAAAGAAAAAAAGAGCGAGAAAGAGCGTGCAGAGAGAGAATTCATAGATGATGGTCTGTGTACGTGAGAGGGAGCATGGTAGTATATTTTGCATTAGTGATGTTGAAGAGGGTGGGCGGGCTGGGGGGGCTCTTGTTAAAGATGAGGGGTGGATGGCTAAGGAGGAGGAGAAGGGGAGTATAGCTCAGACAAAAAGCAGCCAGCCATTGTGAGCACACCCTATGGAAGTGCATCAAATTGATCCATAGTCTTTTCATTTCAGGCTTGGGTAAATAACAGCATTTGCATTGATCAGTCTGCAAAACCGGGCAACGATGGGCTCAGGAGCGCACGGTATGTGCGTGCCTGGTTGTGTGTATGTGTGTTTGTGTGGCGGCTGACAAAACACATCTCTTATTCCTTTCTGCTCCTTGCGGAGTCGAGGGCCTCACCAGAGCCCTACAAACGGCTATGATGGATAAAATGTTTTCAACACTTGAGAAGAGTGGATGCTATTGTGTCCGCCTGTATACTGAAACACAGAATCACAGAATTCCCAGGACGCTGCACGCTCTATTTATGTGTTATGAAAAACATGACTCAAAAGAAAACGGAAAACAGCTATGCTCTACTTTTACTGTCAGCCATCATGTGAAGTGTGAAGAGGAGGAAGAGGATGAGAGCGAGATACAGACGGGGAGAGGAGAGTAGAGGAGGGTGATTTTCTTCATCCACAGATCCTATCTTGATGGTGACAGGGGACTGGGCTCTCAGAACACCCCCCCTACCCCCATACCTCCATCCCCCACCTCCCCCTCTGATGCCTGTCACTGCTCCTCTCCTTCCCTCCCTCCCTTCTCCTGACTGGAGGAGTGTGTGAAGTGTCCCCCGAGAGGCACAGACTCAAAGACGGTATTTACAAGATCCACACTGAGCCCACTTTTAACTGACTGTGAAGAACTTCTCTCGCCGCCTTTGATGTGCAAACCTAATGGGGAAGAGCTCGCCGGCAGTCATTGCATATGTTAGCAAGGCAACGTGAGCTATTCCGCTAGCATTGCAAGGTAGACTTCATGCTGCTTGTAGTAAGTGAACACTTCAAATGCTGTATAGCTTTGGTGCATTGCTGCCCTTGGAAAAGTCCCCATTGGCAAATAGACACTGATGCGATGCGTCAACTTCTACAACAAATTAGTGGCCCTAGCAGCAAAAGACGATCACTTTGCTCATTTCATGGTGGACTTATTAGCATATTTATGAGTTCATATAGAAGACTGTTGATGTGATCATCAAGTAACTCCATACAATGTGCAAAATTTAAAACCAATGACATGATTATTCATCAAGTTTAATAGTAAGTACATGAGCAGATCCTACACCCATTCTTTACTGGGATTTTTTTTTAAGTGGTGCAATAAATCAGAGAGTTTTTTGATTTTCCTGCCACTTGACATTTCTACCCAGATGGGATGACTAACATCAACAAAGGAGTCAGCAGAGTGAGCCCTCCCACATCCAAAAAACCTGCTACAGCCTGCAAGTCTGTTTAAAGCAGGTTGTCTTTGTTCTGCTTTCTAGCATAAGTGATCTTGAGGAAAGAGGACTGATGCATTGGAGCAACTGGTGCCCCCTGTCTGTCAATTGAAAGGTCAAAGTTCAGCCGACACATTTAGGGACTCAT